TAAATTTAAGTCAGATGATAAAATGGCTGAGGGATAAGATTAGCTATAGTGGATATGGGTGGGACTAATCGCACCGTTGTTGAATATTGGATAATTTATTAATTCAGTTTTACAGTTAAAACTTGGTCATGCTCACAGTCAAACATTTATTTGCTATTTCAAAACGTTCGATCTTGTTGCGCATAGAAGTGGATGTGTTTCTTCAGTTTGTATGGTGCGATTGCTTGTTTGGTCACGATTTCCTTTCTTCTCTTGCCTATTTCTAGGAACCGCGTTACAATCACCTAGAACGCCGGCTGGTATTTTGCATACAATATTTTGCACACATACCTGTGTGAAAAACGCCTTTAACGGATGAGGCCATCATCAAAGTAAATGCACTACAACTACTCACATTTATCTGATTCCACTCAAGATCCCGTTCAACTTAGTTTCCCCTGTGATTAATCTTTTACGTTAATTGAATCCCTTTCTGCTATTTGAGCTATTTAAAATCCGTCACTCGTACCAGCTGGGCATGTGTCTCGTCTTGTGTCACAACTGGCCCATCCGATCGATCGATGGACGAACCCGATAGACCCTCAGTGTTTGTCAGGTCCCCATCGGGAAAAAACGAAAGAATTCTATGGTGCTCAAGTGCCGGCATAAGAATGTAACAGAAGAGTCTATCTTTCGCCAATTTTAGTCCTTTGCCAGGAATGTTCTACCACATGAGCAGCATTCTATTTTCAAGTGGATTTTTAGCAGTTTATGCAATACCCGTGTCTTCAGTCGCATTGAAATAACCCTATTAATACTGCCAAGCGAATGAGATAATTCAAACATAAGACTCTAAATGGACTGAACCAGTCGGCTGTGTGGCTCAGGGGTAAGGGTGTTGACTTCCAACAAGCGGGTTTGCGGTTAGAGCCCTGAAGAAACGCAAAAAGCGCGCGTTGCCGACGAGTTTCAGAAAGGACGAAACAGTTTTCCAGTGCTCTTTGTCAGTCACCACAAAGAAGCTTACACCTCGGTAATTAGTTCGCGAAATTTGCATCTCATATGTGACTGGTAGACTAGCGTGCTCAATTACTACCCTTGCTTGCGATTCTTTTAAAGGTCTTTTTGAGTTATACATTCCAGCGACTCTCCCCACTGCACCTTTCATGAATTGCTGAAAAATCCACAGTTCGGGTGAGTAGGACGTATCCTAATTTGGCCTTTGTTACTGCAAAGAACCATAATTATTGAAAGGTAGACTCTTGTGTTGCAGTCATACGCCGGCACCGAAACACCAAAGGGTTTTTCACTGTTCTGCCAAGCGTGTTTGGTCAACCCTACGTAGCAATTGCGTTCTCCTAGCCGATGGACCGGTTGTAACATAGGACGAGACACATGTCCAGATACCCTGAGCGAGAGCCACTACCTTGCTGACCACTTCGATTATTTAGAAGGACCAGTGAAGTTCCACTGTGCACTGCAGGGGTGCCATTATCACATAGAAGAACAGGTAGATGAAGAATGTCGTAAACCACACAAACAGGTGATCAAATGGCATAGGGTTTAGGAACTCACATTTGCACAAATGAGGGCAATGAACCAATCAGATCACAAAGTGAATAGAGGAGAAATCAGCTGAGCGTGGTCAGAGTTGCGAGGGAGTGTACGATAGATCACACTGATTAATCCATATGAATTATTCTATAACCTGAAACGCCTTCTTGACACCTTCATCTAAAAATCATCCCATTTGCCCATCTTAGCTTCTGTTCAAACGTGTCATTTAATTCAGCCATGTCTAGTTTGTACAGATACTGGTCCCTAAATAGTGTGTTCCGGTGTCGATTGACACCCTTCAATTAGATATTTGTTTCATCCACGAGTTAACGAGCACGGGAAATGTTTAAATAAATTCAGAGTGTAGAATTTGATGCAATCTCATCGAGCTGCGTTTGAAATGAGAGCAAACATCCTGGTACCACCGAAAAGACATTCAAGCATATCAACAATCATCGATAAGGTTGATCTCAACAACTTTAACTGGGAAGCCAAACATGACCGATATAGGGACAACTACTGTTCAAGGTATTATTCCAGATCAGGCCATCCTTGATCTCCTCCAAACCACTGCTTACTTTTGCAAACATCACACTTCAAGGAGCTGTATCTGGTGCCATCCGTTGCATATGATCTAGTCACAGAAATTAATGAAAGACGAGCACTTGAGTAATTGCGCAACAATGACTACCTAAAATTCATATGAATTCGGTATCTTTCGTCCAGCTGTCTCAACAAACTTACAAGACTGAGCCTAGATAGTAATGTTTGGAAACGGTCGATGTGCACCCAACTTTAAATCGGATTAGTGTGACATGTAATTTACCGGTTACCAACAGCTGTATGCTGCAGCAACTCCATAGATCTCCGACTTTTGACAAGTGCCATGCAAACCTCCTAGATAATGCACAACCATTCAATTGAGGTCGGTTCCCACCAGGATCCAGACAGCAAAATCTGTCGGTTTGTCTAACCGATGTCGTGAACTTAAATGACAACTGCAACAATCAAATGAATTCCGCGAATGATTAGAAGTGGGTCACCGAAAGACCAAACTCAACGTAAACTGGATGCAAGTATTCGTGTTTCTGGCGAGCGCAAACACAAAAATACACCATTTTACATGGTGACCTCTCAACTAACTGTGGTAACGAATCCAAACTGATAAAACTGGCTGGGGTATATTCATTCTAGGTTGCCATCATTACTGAGTTACATCGGTTAGGAAAAGCTAATTCCAATCGGGACTGTCTTGGTAAAACTGTAGCAACCAATGGCCAAAATACACAAAGCACTAAACACAAATCAGGGAAGCCATGGAGCTATTTTTCTAATCAAGACGGGAATCTGGCTCAAAACCCAAACAGACAGTATAACTCATTGATCTCCCTTGGCTTATTCATAGTACCATCCATCCAAATTAATACAATGTTTACCTGAAACGCTCCCTCCTGTATCAGCTATGGTCCTTAGGCGCTACACCGTCATTTCAGCGTATTTCAATCAAGCCAAATTCAGATATACTTTTACGGGATACAGTCAATCTCCTGTTGCGTGAGAAGAGACCGCGAGATTTGTTATGAAGATCATCCGTTTATCCATTCTTTTGAGTTCACGTGATGCTCGCCAAAGCGAAGGTTGTCTGGTTCGGTTCATCAGCTGTGATGGGCAACCTATCGTGCTGTCCAGCCTCTATCCACATGGCATTCATTCGAATAACATGGATTTTCGATCAATGAGGTGTTAAGTAGCGTGGGCCTGGTGAGTCGATGGCATATGATGTTTGACGCAATTGCGATCAGCTTTGTGTAATCGGGATCTCAGCTTCATGAATAATAGAGAACTTAGGAGTGCAACGGTGCGCTGATTCACTTTCGGTTACGCCATCTGAAGCCGAGATCGGTCATGGTTCTCCCTAGACATTAATTATCAGTCTTTTCCTTAGTGTCTTTTTGTTGCTCATTGAATCCAGCGAGCTTACAGGCAAAATTTGTTCATTACCTAAGAAACAGTACGATTCCAACATATGAATAAGCCACACCCTTTAGTTTGGGCGCAATGACGATAGTGGCAAGGACAGAACACCACAGACCTCTACCATTTATTGAGTAAAACCACCAGAACCTACAGTAATGGTATTATAACATATATTGAGTTTCGAATTAGTTTTGAAGAGTGAGATAGGTCGGTATTGCAGTACAGAGGTACCACAAATCACAAGGAGACTATTGGCAGATAACGTTGAATAGCTAAAGGTCATGGGCATTTGTGCACAGCAGTCACAGAACATCATTTGTAATCGTGATTGCGTCAGTGAAATACGATAACTTCTCGAATACCCACGTCAGTGGGTATGGCTTAGCTAACTTACAGGCCGCTCAAATGTGGCAAAGTTATACCATTCGCCAGAAAATTATTTGAGTAATATATTTGTCATATGTCACTCAGATTTTGCAGGTCATCGTCGTTCATCTGTAATCTGCAATTGGTTGCATGTGGTGGTTCAAGTTAAACGGACCATAAATTGAACACGTGGCAATTTGCCAAAGACTTTTCACTTTTATGAGAAACGAAGTAGACCCCGGATTTAATAATCCAACCTGTCATAAAGGACGGAGATCAGATAAAACGTCCTAGGACCTCTCTTTCCAAATTCATGAACAACAAGCTTGGCCTGCGATCGAATCTGGAAATTAGTTTAAAGGGAATCCGGACACGCACACAGAAATTTCAGTGCAGAAACAGACTGACAAAATCGTGGATCACTTCTAAGTTCTGGTCCGTTGTTTACCTCATAAGTCCATCTGAACCGTTAAAGACTACCACTAAGGTGATATGAAAGGGCAGCACAATAACTATCATCTTTTACAATAAACGGAGCTCCAACTCATTTTTTGTATAAGGGTGTATGGGCCTCTTGCATTTAGAATGAACAGCCAAATTTGTTGTTTTCAGCTTTTCATAAGCTTCAATCGGAAAACGATTTGAGAATCACTTCATCTTGAACTGCCTTATCAAATATCAACGACACCAGAACATAATCCTACCCCACCGTGCTACCAGCGAGATTCACAGATCGCCATCGAGCCATAGCGCATTTTCATCCAGAAGAAATTAGTGGCCCATTGTGGATCAATATTAGGATAATCTGCTGCTCCTTGCGATCCTACCAGTCATAGGTGCCCAATGGCAGTATATGTAACGGAATACGTCACTGGAATTTTAAATTTTGTTCTTATCGACTAGTTAAAATAAACATCCATATTGGAATAATAAATACAATTAAGTTTGGTAAAAAATTTATGGTATTGATAAACAAAATAGAACAAAAAGTAATGATAATAATACAAATTTGGACACGGAACGACTCAAGAGTAATTCCATCAAAATAGCTAACTCCCTGAGCACAATTCCAAAACACCCATATGCACATATTATAGCAGGACTGGTTGAACTCGCGTTCATTAGGCCAAATATGAATCCACAATCGAACGAAGCTGCAACTCCAGATCAGCGGCCGAGACGATGCCTTGAGTCATTTGTTCCAGCTCCACTGCCACATCTTTCAGACGAGAATGTAAGCGCTGTAGTTTCTTCTTCGGACGCGTATTACAGGATCGAGTGCGTTGGTTGGCAAACCAGGAGTTCACCTTTGACAGATAGACAGAACCAATAGCATTCCTTTTTTATCTGTTTTATAACTATTCAATAATATTGTTGTTTCACATCCCCTCAGAAGATTAACTTAGAGATTTCTTCCCTTCTTTGCCCATTTCAGCTGCTAACAAAAAACAGTTCGAGGTAGCTTCCACAAGTGCATATAATCACTTCTGACCGAAATTATGGAAAGCATGATTACATTTCTCTATAAAAGTTTGAAGTTAAAATGTGACTGTATCGCATCAAATGTGTATTACATTTTGGACCTAGTGTCCAATGGATTAATCGTGAGAATAACTGGCTGCTCAAATAACTAGTCCATTTTCGAGGATCACTAACGCGCCGCTACATTTTACATCGTTACCATACATCGCTATAAATCTTTCGAAAGGCAAAATTTCACCCAAATGGAATACTAATAGAGATGAATAAACTGCATCAAAGAGGAGGTAAAATATATAACATCATTTTTCTTGACCTTTGTCATCTTACCAAGGGGTTTCAAACGTGTGTTAGTCTCTTGAACTCACGGTTGGCATGCCATCTCCATTGTGTCACCAAACAACCATTTGTGGCAAGCATTCTAAGCCAAGGAGAGTTTTCTGAAAATAAGTGACTCAATAAACGAAATTCTAACTGATCAATCAGTTCGTTCAGTGATTAGCCGCGAAGTCAAAATTTCAATGTTAATCCACATACTATCCAATCAAGCCCGAACCGCGGTGCCACTGCTCTCTGCAAGACAAGTTGGACTACTGCAGTGCTTGCTTGATCCTTCGCGGAACGCTCAAGATTGCAGCGGTTCCACACAAGTCGAAAGTCATTATATAATTCTTTTGTACACGCAGCACAACATCTGAGATGCCTTCACCAGCAGTAATTACAGAAGTCTCTAAAGTCTGATCATTCAGAGTAACATTTGGAATGGGATCAAAACCATTCGATAACGGCCTTTTGCACTTTCAAGGCGCATTATTAGTGTCAAGCAATGCTTTGTTGACGTTCTAAATATCCCCACAAGCTTAGAATTAACTTGGACCTGCTGTCGATAATATACTTCATCTCTATACGCCATATAAAATAATGAGCATAGAAGGTTATCGATGCCAATTACCACTGGGGATAGAGCTGACTCTTACCAACTACAAAGTCAGATAGAAAATAGGGAAACCTGTTCTGATTAACAGTGCTTTCCATGGTGAATATATACTTAAAATAATCTTAATCATGAACTCAACCGCGGTCCTTAGGGTGCATCAAAGCAGAATAACCTTTTAAAAGAGGTAGCTTTAGAATATGGTAAAGTCACTGAGTCGGTCTCTTCAAAGTGGTAGGTGCACATAAAAAATGAATGGGTTTTCCCTCGGGTGAAATTATGATCGAAGTAGCCTCAATGCCTGAAATCTAGCTAACTTCCTTCGGTGCACTGTTCACCTACGGTAGTTGATGAAGTATAGTGATGGCAGAAGCCACGAGGTGTCAATTAAACCATTCCTGTGTTTTTATACAAGGATCTATCGTTCTTGTTGTGGTGATATAAGCAAATTAGGCTATTTATCGTGAACCAGTCAGCTCATCCATAGTGCAGAATGTGATTTTATTAACTCCAAAACTAAGGTTAAATCATCCTTTGGAGATGAAAGGAGAGAAATGACGTTTAATTTATGTCAAAAAGAATTTATTTTTAGGCCTTCGTTCTTCGTTGGCATCAAATGAAGCTTAGCGCCTAACCCATTGTTGCACAGTGAATTTTGTTAAAGTGGGCAAACACCTCATCGATTCAGCAGATTCCACACTTCTAAAACGATAACTTACAGCTCCCAGCCAACTTGGCTCGGTAAGGCAGGTTTTACAAATCAGAGTAACTAGTTCGTAAATCAATGTAATAACCGAGTATTCACCTTGAGTTGCAGCATAAGAAACTATTGATCCGGCATCTATTTAACTGCATTTATAGTGAATAAAGCGCCATCTTTGGTTTGAACTTTAGGCTACAATTCCCTATTACAAATAAAACAGGGATCGGCGGACAAGCTCATCTTCAGTGATTTGTAGTCATACAAATCACTGTTTGGGGAAATGCCTTCCTTTATCTAATGAATACATTATCTCAGTACCACACCACTAGCTTTATCACCACCGTCATCGTATAGTGAAATACAGTGAAGCGAATTCCACCGATCAATACCAAGCTCTTAAGGCATACAAACTAATAGATAATGTGCATGGCTGGTAGGTAATAGGCCTATTTTGTGGTAGGGGAAAGTGAACGTCATAGTTCACACACAGTACAAATTCTAACTATGCATGCACACTTGTTCAAACATTCCCACCTGATAAGAACACCATTGCTTTCGTCTCGCTGCAATGTCCTCCGGTGTCTCCAACCAGTCTTGACAATCCCATCCGGAAAGAGGAGATACTGACTCCACCTAATCGCTATGTACCTTGTTTTCACGTCATTTAGCATCGGTTATTCTCTCTAGCCCGTAGAGGTACCTGCAAATAAGGAGTGGTGCGGTAGAAAACCGTTAGGAATACGTAATACGTGGCAGTGAAGCCTATTAGTCTGAATTCGATGCTAGAGCTTTCTCGATCTCATCAATAGTTTGTGATCATTCAAGTGAATCTGGACAATCAGACTGGAAATTACCTGGGAAAGTTTGATTCCCCCAAGCCTCGCCAGCTGTAACTTCTCCGCCGTAGTCGGATAAGGTCGGTCGATGTGCGCTTCGTACCACTGTCTCATTTGTTTTAGTGCATTGCGATTCAACGGGCGACTACGTGTGGAACTTGGTCGTGAGGAGTTGGAGCAGGCCGGTTGCTGATTCTTCACCTCGTTCTCGGAATTCTCATTCAGCTCGGCTTCATCGGTATTTGAGCTCCAGCCATATGGACAAGATTTGTAGACAGCAGTTGCACCCTCTTTCATCCAAGAACCATGAGAGAGGTCCGGCGTAGATGAGTTAATACTATCATTCAGTATCTCCTCAAGCGAACCAGGACGACTCTTAACGCGACGTCTTGTTCGTCGGTAAGGTGTTCTTTTGCTTTTGAGTGCTCGAAATGATTTATCCGGCATGGTGTTAGAAGAATCTTCATCAAGGATTTGATCAGTAGAACTTTCATGAGCACTCATTTGTGAATCGGTGTGGTCTCTAGAAACCACATGAAAGGCGGAGGGTCGGCTGTATTCAGGTATAGCGTTCAGTTGGGCAGAAGCAGTAATGCTTTTGATGCCGCTATCGCTATTATATTGAGAAGCCATATCCATTGCTCCTCGCATAATGGACACAGAAAGAGCTGGAGCTATGTTTGGGCTCCCCGGCTGGACGGAATCCCTGAAGCTAGTAGATTGGTTGTAAATGTTTGAGCCGACTGACATCATCCAAGGCCACGAGGCTCCAAGGGGTGTGGCTGCTGAGGTATATGCCATAGACGCACTAAATGAATCTGCTGTAGGAAACATCGGGGCGTAATTGCCAGGTAAAATCATTTGCTCTGGCGGAGTGATTATAGCTGATTGTTGCCAATACCCAGATGTCATTGCATGCAGGCTTTTTAATCCCGGTTGTGATTGTGTCAAGTGAGCTGCAGCTATGGCGTAATTAGGTTGTTGATAACTGGGGGAATTTTCTGTTTGTGGAACGCCCGATTGAGGTTGGTAATCAGAACCAGGATAAATTTTTCCTGTCTCCAGGGTTTTCGACATTGTAGAATCAGTGCTACATAGCCCGAATGAAGATGTATCGGCAACAGGCGATGTTCGGTCATTTTCTGATGCCGGAGGAAAGACCGGCGTTCCGTACCGACGAGCTTCGTTGGGAGAGTCGTTGGTCATAACACTTAATTTGGTATGACGATCTCTATATTCAAACGGTTCGGTAATAGAGGACACCGCCTCAGCGGTCTCATGGTTCGGTGTGCAAAATACACCGCCAGCGCTTTCTCCGTCTTCTATAATGGTGTTCGTCAAAAACGCTCCTTTCAGTGAATCACTTTGCTCAATTTTGCAGGACGTGAGAGGGCTAGAGGGTTGACTGTGGGCACTCAGCAGAGTATTGGAAACGCTTGTCCGATGTTGAAAGGCATTTTTCTTTGCCTCAGATTCATTGAAACCACTGTTGGTTGAGATAGAAAGAGGTTAATGTAATTTCTTGAATAAAGTTTGATGAGCAAGACTAGAGCATATTACACTAGTCAAATAAGTTACCATCGCGGTTTGATTAACACAAGTAATTAATGAAGAGTTCCAGATCAGAGAACACTGACATCCGCATCTCTAGCGAAAATCATTAAAAATTACATCTATTGAAAACTGACAAAAGTTTCATACGGAGTTTATTATTCCGGGCTAGAGAAGTATGTGTAATAAATATAAAATCCACGGTATTCATCCCGAAATTGACTTTCACTGTCTAGGTGGTGCAGATTTCACACACCACTGCCTTGCGGGTAAGGCTTTAACTAGTCGAAAGTTGTGAATTCCCCTTGAAAATTCACCTGCTTTGACCTGGTGGTATCCCACCAACGAGCAACACACGAACGCTTTCTTTATTATCAAGAATATGGTACCGTGATTATCGTGCTACATTTTGAACGCGCTTGAAATGTGACATAAATACCTCAAAACTGAACCACTGCCCAGGAGGAAGTACACAAAACTGAAGCGTAATGTTACGCATACGCAATAAACACAGAACCCTGAGGAAATCATTACCCTGGGGTTATTTTTGATTGCTGGTCCATAGCAAAGCTTAATGAATAGCAAACATAGTAGTATATTCTCTTAGTGAGAAAGTTGATAGGTAACTGAAGGAATGAGCGCGAAGACAAAATAAAGACCAATATTGGGCTTTTAATTGTGAAGGTTTGCTATTATGTCATAAACCGGGAGACCGCACATGACAAAAATAACCGGAATTCGGTTATCCTTTGTTTATTGCCTACGAATGATCCATTCATCTTGATGGGATCAGGTGTTACTTTTGTGACTAAATTCATGAAGCAAACCTTCTGATAGGGGATGTCGTTTATAAGATCTTGCTCTTGCAATCATCAGTACCGGAATCAGTTGTACGCCATCAGCAACCTAGTTTAGAATAAGATCTGTCGGTAGCACCGGTGATGAGATAGTATCACGAAAGCNCGGGTGGGGGGGGGGCTAACTCAGTGCATCCGTGGAGTCACCTAAACATCCAGATGTCTCTAAAGCGACAAATGTAGAATGTTAACGTTTAAAATATTTCTTTTTTTGTTCGCTTTTCAGCCTGCGATTACTCAATGGGGTTAGAAGATGCACCGCGTTCATTTGATGCTGCCTGCGATTAATACTCAGACTGACTCTTATCTTCAGTTCATTGAAAGTATGATAGCGAATCATCTTGATATCATGTGAGCGATAGAGGGTTCGATTCAATTTCAAGGTGAATTCGTTGTGTATATAGCAAATGATGAAACCCAAACAGGACGAAACAGCTTTCCAAATTCTCTTAGCTTTTCAGTTCTGGCTTCATTTTCTATATCCACGACGAATCCATCTTGATATTATTGTCTATTCCCTCCGTGACGAATGGTGTAGTAATTTTAAAGAAAAGTTCAAGAGGCAGTCGGAACCAACAGCAATCCTAGTATTAAAAACTATCCAAGAGATAAGCTTTTTGTTTGCTCGTGTTGCATAATTCGACAAAATGTTGAAATTCCTGGATGTATACCCGGGGGATTGTCAAAACAACACATCGGCCATAGAACCTATGGATGATGGTTCATATGATCCACTAGACAGTCTCATAACGACTATTGAAACTGTGAATGAGTTTGAATGTTTTTACCATGAGCCCTACATCCTAGTTGAGGTTTGAGTGGAATGTGTTCGAGGTCGAAACATTCCCGTCCTGTCAACCAGGTCGATCGAGGGCAGTAGTTCCGGGTGATTTACAAAACCGCTACCAAGGCCAGAAAAATCAAACACCGAAACCTATGATGCGTCCAAAGGAGGATGTTTACGTCGATTTAACCTTGCCATGTCAACGATGAAAGCAGACTGATGATGAGAACTGTGAACTATTTTGCCTGCTGTAATAAGCATAACTTGAGATTTCAAGAGTACTAAGAGTGAAAAGAAGTGAAATCAGCGTAGAAAAGCTTCGTACATAACCTCTACGACGTCATGACTTGGTTGGGTAATGAATTAAGCTACCAATAGTTCATAGTGTTGTGGTGGTCCTAAGAGCCTCCCCAATCCTCAGAGGAAAGATATTCGTGATAAATATACTTTTTAAAGTTCAACGTGACACGACATAAAAATTCAAGAACACTCTGAACACATGTGCTTTGGGTTTCACCACCGGATGGGCAATTAAATGTTGCTCACCTGCAGGTGGTGCTTGGTCATTGGACTGCAGTCGTGTTGCAATTCAAAGGCTCTATGCTAGTGTTACAATTTGGGGAGTCTCCCTGTAGTAGGCAGCTCTGCTGTCGTCCAGTTCAATACCACGCCGAACCCAACGGGGCCTTATGTGGTTCACCACTCCAAATTCCGGGGCTCAGGTTACTGGTTTCCACCACTGAACAGCACATCCTCGTGAATATGGCGTTCGCCTCGTCTGTTGTTTATCACACAAAATGTTATAAAAATCTAGAAAGCTCGATCGGGAACTAAAAGCGAAGTATCTGCAATTTGTCTGCTAAACATCCGTCTTAAGAAGTCACCGCTTCAGGCGTTCAACGTTATTTTCTGTAATCAGCCTACTGCCAAGCATATATTCAATTGATCTTTCTCGCCGAAATGCATATACAACTGTGGAGAAGTTTCGCTTGTGCAGAACCCGTGGCTATCCTTGAGGAATTTGATGTTCATTTAGTCTAGATACTCACACATTCAAAGATTACTCTTTCATCAACCCAGAAGAGTATTCGTAGTAAAATACCATTTTTACCTTTTTTCTAAGTTATCTATGATTCGAAAGACAATTTGTTTTACCTTACCTGTTAAGCACACAATATACCCCGCATAAAAAACCATGACAATCTGGCACATGATAACCACTTGACCAACCAACTTGACATAAAACCACTTCATCAATCTGCACATTATCAATTGAGTTAACATTGGAAAACCAGTTCATATGATTAATTCCAAGGAGTTGCACTTACCAAAATGATGCATACCCACTATCTTGATCAAAATTTGAATCAGCGTTTAAAAGTTGATCCAGTGAACTATTCACTCTGGTATGTACTTCCTGTGTATTTACTTCCTGATGGTGCATTTCGTAATCTTTGCAACATGTCGATGTAAAAAGCATAACGTAGTTGCATAAAGCTAGGTCCGCTGGGTATACGGTTCAGTCCAACTGATACTATAGACTGGACGTGACGTGGTATTCATCTGCGGGCCCTACCTTCCCTCCCTCCCTCCCCGTACGGCCCCGACCACTGCCATCAAAACTATCAATCGACCCATTGCACACTGCTATTGGGCGAAGAGCGGATCAATTCGATAATGCTCACTGGAATTTCGGGGGAGGATGGTCAAATTCGGTACGTGGTCCGTCAGCAGTAGTGACCTTGTAGCCCTTTGTGGGGTGGGGGACAGTGGCAAACTAACCAATCAGACCATACTCCGAGCATACACTGAGAATCTATTTCGGGCACGATCGAGAACAATTCCGATCGCAGTGGTGGTGAGTTAAGCAGTGATCCGCAGCCCAGAAAACTAAGAATCAGTTTTCTTCATTATACGAAAAGATTTTTAGCCAAGTGAAAATGCAGATTGATTATTCTTAAAATAGGGATAGTATAAACCGTAAACGAATAAGAATGGATGAAAATCGAAAATTAATCGATATATATATATATATATATATATATCATCTGAATCCTGAGAGTCAAAGCGGAATTCTGTGTGTGGTTCCATAAATATCAGAGTAGCAGGGCAATAGTACTACAATTGATCACCAAAGATTTACAATGGAAAAGATAAGCTTGTGTCAAGAGATTCTTTGGCTTAACTTCACCTGACTTGAAGTCCTTATTATCTGCCAAGAAAACCACAAGCATCATCGATCACTGAATAAGTCAGGTAAATTCCTAAGTGACATGGAGAGGCTGATGAATGCATGATAGCTATCGGTTTTCAAGAAACGTTTTACAAATTCTAATTTAGAATCAATCATTTTGTTTATTTTATTCGTAACCAAGCATCGCTACACCGGTCTAAAACTAAAAAATAATAATCTGTGTATTTAAAACTCATGTTGCTTCCAATAATTGCGAATTTCAAATGCATACTTCTGGTATTAATCAAATTCTTTCTACAACGAAAACTGATTTTTGCAATCACGTGCATTACAGTATCCATATACACGACATTTCAATAATGACTCAATGAGTAAACTGGGCAGCTGATTTGTTAATATTTGGACTATTGTTCAATATCAGTTTTTACGACCATTGACTATGCGCTTTCGTGTAGGGGGTTTTGATTATCATTTGGCGATCTTGATCAGGTGCACAATTCTTGAAGGAATAAGCCAAATTTTATTATATGTGATTAAAATGTGTCCAGTTTTCTATTTCCTAGAAAGATAAAGTGTCTGTGTGTATATTTTCAATCTCAGATGTATTGTCATTGATAGTGAAGTTTTTGCTTGGGGTTTTCGAGGAGAATTACAAGCAACTCATGTTTTTTTCTTTTCTCACAAAGATTGTTGTGACGCGATTTATCTAACACAGTCTGAACTGAGGCGTGTGCGAAACATTCATTTTGTGAAGTATACAGATCTATAAACTATCAAAGTTCCATTTGACACACGTTACTTCTAACTCGATGCGAGCATC